GGGCCCGAGGCGGCTCTGACTGTTGTGTGTGGTAGGCGGCCGAGGCGCCGTGGAGGCGGAGGAGGACCTGCCAGAGCTGTCGGACAGCGGGGACGAGGCCGCCTGGGAGGATGAGGACGATGCGGATCTCCCGCACAACAGGCAGCAGACCCCCTGCCTGTTCTGTGACAGGTTCGTCCACCTCCGCGCCCGGCTCCAGCCCCCGGTGCCCCGGGCGCGTGGGGTCTGTGTGGTCCACCCAGGAACTGCAGGGCGAGAGTCAACACAGGGGCCTGCCCTTGACTTCTTAGTGCAGTGGTTGGGGTGAAGGCTTGCGGAGAGGAAGCCACAGGGGTGTAGAGGGAGGAGCCACAACCTGGAAACCAGGTTCTGCCACTTGATTCCACAGGTCTCATTTTCCCCTTGTATAAAATGGGGCGATTCTGGACCAGATCTGTGATGGTCAGGTTTGGTTTTAGACCCTTGTCACCTAAGACACTGTAACGGAAATAAACACAGGTGCTGAACTCTGCACCTTGGTCCTTCTAAATCAGGGATGCAGTCTAGGAATCTTCTGTTTTTATATGGACACTCTCCGAGGTGTTGCTGATGTGCGACACATTGGGGAGCCTCACTGAGCTGCTAAGTAGGGCCCTTCAGCTTTATCATCCTGTGGTTCTTTGACTACCAGTGAACAGCTTCTCAGGTTAACACTGAGCCTTTGGGGTGCCTAAGTTCACCTTTCTCTCTCTCTCTTTTTCCGACTTTGGGGCTTTTGGAGGGTTGTGCTTTAGGGTGTGTGTGCTCCCAGAGAGAGAGGAGAGGGAAAGTGAGAAATCACCCCTTGGGGAAAGGTGACACCGTCAACCAATCTCCTCCACTCTTCCCTTCCCGATTTTGGCATGCACAGGCAATCCCCTGGAGTGATTTTCAAGCCACTGAATCCAGGACTTAAACTGCAGTGAGCCACGTGGGAATCCAACGCCCTAACCACCATGCTACCTGCTAGCCCCAGCCTTTCCTAAGTAGGGGCTCCATACCTATTGGAATTGATACCTTCTTCACTTGAAGAAACAGACTACAGTGTCGATAACTAGCCCAAACTCACAAAGCTGTAGTTTGTTTCATTCCCAAATTCACATTTTTTTCCCCTTAAAATTCTCTCTTAATCTCAAGAAACTGCTCTCCTGGGCAAAAGGGGCTACTAAAGAGGCCTACCTGGCATTGGCCAGTGTTACTCTAATCGTCATTTCCCAGTGCGCCCTAAACCTGGGCCTGGTCTTGCTGATTGATGCTAGACCTCTCCTGCCCCCGGCGCCCTGCAGGACTAAAACACTGCGGTTACTGTTCTCATGCGTAGCCTGATTGGTAGGTAGAATGTCCACATAGACTCTAGTTGTCATAAAGTCATATTTATTGAGCATCAGGGTGCAGAGCCTTGTGATAGGCTCCACAAATACTGCAGATCGCCTATGCGGTACACATTTGTTGCAAACTGCTGTGTGTGTGCTAGGCATACAGAAGGGAGACGCAGCTTCTCTGCTGCACGTTCCTGGCTTCCAGGTCCTTTGGTTGTGCAGGTCACAGCAAAGATGTTTGGTCCTCCCAAGTCTAACACAAGTGCTTTTGGGAACACTACAAGATCAATTTAGAAGTGTAGCACTTTGGGGATGTAAAACTAAATTTTATGCTTTACTTTTACAGGCAGTTACAGCTTTGCTGGCTCAAAGTCTCGGAAAGCAGAGTTGACTTTTAGAAAAGGAAAATAAATCTCAAATAGAGAATATTCATGACTTGAGAGAAACAATCCATCAAAGGGAACTCTCTTTCTAATCCTTTCATCTGCAAATGTGTTGTCTTAATTTGAAATAAACCTAGAAAGCAGTATGTATATTTAACATGAAATTAAGATTTAGACGTTTTGGGGAGCTATTCCGTGAACCTATTGTTTGGTTTTTCAGGTTATTTACATCAGCCGAAGAAACATTTTCACACTGTAAGTCTGAACATCAATTTAGTATTGATAACATGGTCCATAAACATGGTGAGTACTTTTTACAATAAAGACAATTTTAGTTGTGCAATTTAAATTCAAATTTTATAATTATCTAGACTTGTTTTTTCCTGTCTGAGGTAGTGAAATATATAACAACATTTTATCTTATGGGATTGATTTTTTTTTTTTTTTGACAAACAATCTTAGAGGGATGATTAGTCACTCGTTTAAACAAGATTCACTGTATTTAAGCTTATATTGACTTCACAACTAAAAATAAGAAACTTGGCATGCCATTGCATTTTTATCATATTAGAATTATGGAATGCCAGGGTGGAGTCGGCAAAAGGAAGAAATTCATTATGAAAAAGAACTTAATCAGGTCAAAGCATAGCATGAACTTCAAGGTCTGCAAGATTAATTTTATAAGCAATTTGGTAGGGAGTATGGGAAAAGGAAATGATGAAGTTAAGGTAGTATGCAAAATACCCAGATGCTGTTTCTTTTGAAACTTGTGTTTGGATGTAATCACTTTATAATTCATACCTTACACCTTAAATGAATATAGAAGAGCTCTTCTGTTCCACTAAATATAGAAATGAGTTTTGTCCCTATATTTATTTATTTTCATGAATTTTAAAATTGAATTTTATTTATTACTGTTATTTTTTAATTCATGAGAGAGAGAAAGAGAGAAAGTAAGAAAGCAAGCTGCCAGGTCCAGGATTCAAACTGTGATCATCCATGTAGGAGTCCAGCGCCTTAACTGCCATGTCACCTGCTGGCCCCTGTCCCTATATTTATTAACAGCTAGAAGAGACATTGAAGAATACCAAATACAAGACAGATTTTTAGATCTGAAATAAAGATGTGGTGTAATGTTTTAAATCATAAATTCAGCTGCAATGGTTCTTGTAAAATGTGACAGCCTCAGTTTTTTCTTTCACTTTTAATATTATATTTTTAAAATAAACTTTTTAAAGAATTTTTTTTTTTTGGAGAGATTTTCGCTATAGGACGCGTGTGCTCGCCAGACAGACAGAGAGAGACATAGAGACAGAAAGCGAGAAATCACCCCCCAGGGGGGATGGTCACACCTCAATCCCTTCTCCTCCATTCTCCTCTCGGGATCTTGGGCACACACGCACACGCGCCCGGCGTGAGTTTTAAGCCACCGGGTCCGGGATGCGAACCACGGTCGACTACATGGGAGTCCAGCGACATAGCCATTACGCTAACTGCTGGTTCCCAAAGAATTATTATTTCAACTTTATTTATTATTACGAATTTCCAGTTTGATCTGAGAGACACAGAGAAAGAGAGAGAGGGAAAGTGAGAAAGCAAGCCACCACGTCTGGGATTTGAACCGCGGTTACCCATGTGAGCGTCCAGCACCTTTAATCACCACATCACCGGCTGGCCCCTTAATATTATGTTTTTAAACTGAATTGAGATACTACTTAAGGTGTAATTTTGTTGTAGTTTTCACTTAACATTATAGCAGTTTTTATGTACTAGTAAAGCTTCCTGGTAACTACATTTCTTTTAACAAATAACCAATTGGTTAGATACGTTGGTTTTGCTTTCCTTATTTTAAATGCTGCTTCATTTCTGGAAAGACATGAGAAGCAGATAGTAAGCATCATTATTTTTTAATTTGCATCATTTAACTTTATGTAAAAGCTACTATTCTTTGTATACTCCATGAACTGGCAAAATTATAATTTGATAGACCCCATAAAAATTAGGGATTTAGAAATGTTCCACTCTAATAACAACTGCCAAATACCTGATAAAATCTAGGACTTAATTTTCCACATTCGTATTGTTCTGACAAATGAGGAGTAGAATTTTTTTTTTTTTTTTTTTTTTTTTTTTTCGCTATAGGGCGCGTGCGCTCGCCAGACAGACAGAGAGAGACATAGAGACAGAAAGCGAGAAATCACCCCCCAGGGGGGATGGTCACGCCGCAATCCCTTCTCCTCCATTCTCCTCTCGGGATCTTGGGCACGTACGCACACGCGCCCGGCGTGAGTTTTAAGCCACCGGGTCCGGGACGTGAACCGCGGTCGACTACGTGGGAGTCCAGCGACATAGCCATTACGCTAACTGCTGGTTCCCAGGAGTAGAATTCTTAAAATTAATTTCTCAGGACCAGCAGATGTAGCGGTTACATCACTGGGTTCCCACGTTTGAGTCCTGGACTTGGCATCTTAATACTCATGCTAGGCGCATGTGCATGTGTGCCCAAAATCCTGAGAGGATAATGGAGAAGAAGGGATTGCGGTGTGGCCATTCTCTCCAGGGGGAGGGTGATTTCTCACTTTTTGTTTATTCTCTCTCTCTCTCTCTGGCAAGTGCACGTGCCTTGTAGCAAAAATCTCTCCAAAAAAAAAAAATAATAATAATTTCTCATTTTTTTAGAAGTATATGAAAAGCGCTTCAAAATTTGTTATCTGGGGAACCAGCAGTTAGCGTAATGGCTATGTCGCTGGACTCCCATGTAGTCGACCGCAGTTCGTGTCCCGGACCCGGTGGCTTAAAACTCACGCCGGGCGCGTGTGCGTGCGTGCCCAAGATCCCGAGAGGAGAATGGAGAAGAAGGGATTGTGGCGTGACCATCCCCCCTGGGGGGAGATTTCTCGCTTTCTGTCTCTATGTCTCTCTCTGTCTGTCTGGCGAGCGCACGCGCCCTATAGCAAAAAAAAAAAAAAAAAACCTCTCCAAAAAAAAAAAATTGTTATCTGCAGCTGTTTTTTAAATTAAATATTCAGAAATATCAAAATTACTATTTCTAATTCTTAGTAAAAATCTAAAATATTATAAGTAGTATTTTAGAGGACAGAAATATTTTTATTGCCTAGTCAAAGAAGCTTTTGTAGAATAGGCCAATGAAACGAAACTCACATTATATTAAAATAGGTGAATTATCTGTTTTTTTCTCCCTGTAGGACTTGACTTTTATGGATACATTAAGCTAATAAATTTTATTAGACTTAAGGTAAGTTGGCAGCTTAACTTACAAGTTGTTTTTTTTTTTTTTTTTAAGAAATTAAATACTACAGGGACTGTCATTGTACAGTGTACATTATTTGAAAGGATATGAAGAACTGTTGCATTTAAATTTGGCAGTCCTCATACGGGGGAATCACAGATGTTAGGAACTAGCGCAAGATAGAGACCAAGTAACTGTGCTTCTGAGAGTCGTTTTTGACTGTGTCTAGGAAATAAGTCAGCGTCATGTGAGAAAGTAAGAGTGTCAGATTAAGGGAAATATGAATACCCAGTATTTCTCTGAAATCAGAATAGTTTCCAGTGTGATTGTAAGTACGTTGGTCACTCCTTTCTAGTGTTTCACATGCTTTTGTTTTAGTCAACTGAATGTGTATATTGTCACGTTCCCTAAATTCCAATAATGTGAAACTCTGCATTGAAACCATTAATTAAGCAGTCATCCGGCCAAGATAATGTAATGACAGGTAAATGCGGATTCCTTTAATAAACACATAGTGATTTTGTGTAATGCAAACACGATGTCTTTTTCTTTTTTTGGCTTAATTTTCCTAGTTTTTACTAGGGAGATTTTGTGATTATGTGTACTGAAGTGCAATTAATTTTACATCCAGAACCCTACAGTTGAGTATATGAATTCCATATACAACCCAGTGCCTTGGGAGAAGGAAGAGTATCTGAAGCCAGTATTAGAAGATGACCTTTTACTTCAGTTTGGTAAGATGATCATACTGTCTCTAATTAGCTTAGGACCACTTGTTATAGCAAAATGGAGATAAAGTGTTTTAGGAAGATAGATCATCTGTTTATTCTCTTTGAGTAGTTGATTTTGGTAGAAAAGTTAAGTCAATTAAAAACTGATAATCATACTAATAATTACTATGGAGGAATTTAGAAATATGAGCTTATTTAAACACTGCATATTTTGAAACAGACTCGAGAGAATAATGTTTAGTTGTTAAGACACTGATCAAGACAAAGTTGAAATGGATTTAATCATATTTGCTGTCTGTCTCATATAGACAGATCAGGTAATTTAGTTAAGGCATCTAGTTTACTGAGACTTTTTTTTTTTTTTTTTAAGAGTTTTGGTTGCTTTAGGGTGTGTGTGCTCACCACAGAGACAGGGAGACAGAAAGTGAGAAATCACCCCCTGGAGGAATGGTCATGCCACAATCCCCTTCTCCTTCGTTCTCTAGGGATCTTAGGCACGTATGCACATGCACCTGGCATGCGTTTTAAGCCGCCGGACCCAGGACTTGAACGGCGGTCGACTGTGTCGGAGTCCAGCAAGTAACAATTATGCCACTGCTGGTCCCTACTGAGACTATTTTGATGGAGAATGGATTCTGTCCACATTGGCATTGGCTTCTCCTCATACACCGTAACTGTCAAGTTTCCTTTGTGGCAGGGTCACTCATTTCAATTTATGGCGGTGTATGTACATGTGAGAGAGAGGGAGTGCCCTCCACAGGGTCTGGTCATGCCACAGTCCCTTTCTTCCAATCCTCCAGCCCGTCGTCAGATCTTGGGTACTTATGTCGATGCTTGGTGCATTTCAGGCTGATCATGCCAGGGATTGGTGGTGGTCGCCATGTGGGACCTTGCTCTGTGTTCGTTCCTTACTGAACTGAAGTCTTGTGAAAATTCTGTTGATCTCTTAAAGATACTTTATTGATCTGACCTATAGGAATGAAATGATATATTCCTTTTTAAATCATATTTTATTTATGACAGCATATGCACATATATGTGGGGGAGAGAGCGAAAGAGAAAGATGGATTAAGATAGAAGCACCTTCAACAGGGTCTAGTCATGCCACCATCCTCTTCTTCCAGCTCTCCAGCTCATGAGGAGTTTGGGCATGCACATGTGTGTGTGCCCAGGGTGTTCCAGGTCTACCGGGCTGGGTGTCTGAATCCGTAGTTACCATTGGCTTCAGCATACCACCAGCTGTGCCACAGGCTAGGCCTGAAATATTAGGTTCTTTTTCTTTTCTTTCTTTCTTTTCTTTTTTTTTAATTGCCTGAGAACACATGTAAGATAGAGAAAAAGGGAGAAAGCATCTCTCAGTGGAGTGTGGGCGTGCCAGTTTCTTCTCCATTTCTTCATCCTGTTGGAATTTTGGGGCATGCACACATACATGCCTAGTGTGTGGTTTTTGAGCCTTCGGGGCTAAGATTTGAACCATGGTCACTTAATAGATCAATGGGGGAAATTACATGATCAGATAGTTCACAAAAAATAAAGGTATTAGGGCCAGCAGGTGGCCATAGTGGTTGAAGCAGCTGGATCCCACATAGTCAACTGCATAGTTTATGTCCCAGACTTTGGTGCCCTGAGAGACATATGAGGTGCGTGTATGTGCTCCCAAAATCCTGAAAGGAGAAATGGAGGAGGAAGGATTGTAGTATGATCACTCCCAGGAGGGAGTATTTATCACTTTCTCTTCCTCTCTTTTTCTGTCTCGGGTAAGTACATGTGCCCTCTGGCAAAAATATTTAGAAAAAAAAAACTGTTAAAGTCTTCAAACATATGAAAAAGAGCTCAAACTCACCCACAGACATACATATTGAAACAACACTGCGATACTATATTCTCACTCTTTAGACTGCCAACAAATTAAAAAATCTGGAGTGTTCTACTGGTGAGGCTATGGACAGATACATTATTCATACATTGCAGTAAGCTGTGCATTTGGGGATACTTAACAAAACTGTGTAGTACTTCTTAACCGAGCAATCTCATTCATTAGAATCCATCTTGAAGGTCCACATCCAGAATTCTGGGGTACATGTACACAACGTTACATTGCAGCACTGTAGTTTCCAAACATGGAAACCACCCAAATGCCCATCCATAGGAGAGTGGGTATATAAACTCTGGTGTGTCCTGCCAGTGGAGTGCTGTATACCTGTTAATAGAATAAAGGTCTATGTGAACTGAAAAAGAATGATACTCAGGATATTTTGCTAAAGGATAAAAAGGCAAAGTCCAAGAGAACATGCCGTGCTACTCTTCAGGTCAGAAAGAGAGAGATTTGAGAAAATGTGCATTTGCAGTCCTTTTCTGCAGAAAAAGTACAGAAAGGATAAATGAGAAACCAAGGTGGTCACTCCCTCCGTGGGGCTGGAGAGAGATGGAAAGGAGGGTACAGTGGTCACAAGGTAATAGAGGGGCAACACTTCGCTGGGTACATCTTTTTTCCCCTTAAATTTGCCAGAGTGCCCGTGCTCTGACTGAAAGAGAGAGAGAGAGAGCATTCTCGTTTTCCCTGAGAGAGAGAGAGAAAGTGCTTTCTCATTTTCCCCATGGGGAGTGATCACACCACAGTCCCTCCTTCATTCTCTCCTTTGGGAATTTTAGGCATGGCTGCACATGTGCCTGGCTTGTTTTGCACACCACCTGTGCTGAGACTCGAACCGTGTTGTCGGCTATGTGGAACCCAGCTGCCTTAACCACCAGTCCATGGGCTCTCCCACTGAGTATATCTTTCAGAAAGTTTAGCTCAAATTCATGATTATAATATGTTTTTCATAACCTTTACATAATAATAAAAAGAAAACAGCAACAACAACTAACAGTTGAAACAATCAGAAAGAGAAGGAGAGGAAGGTGGATAAGGGTACTGAATAGATGCAAACATTAGCAAAGGATTTTTGCTATGTTGCCAATGAATAACATAGCCACACTGAAGTGAATGTGGGAAGACAAGAACTATTTAACTGGAGTCTTGACTGGGTGTTGTGGTGTGGGTCAAGATTAAGTTAAAGACGCAGAGATGCTGGACTCCCACATGGCCAACTGCAGTTCGAGTTCCAGACCTGGTGAGTTGCCTTTTCTCTCCCTCTCACATGTGCCCTATAGCGAAATTAAAAAAATAAATAAATAAAAAAAAATAAATAAAAATAAAATTAAATAAAGAACTACATGAATGCTGCAGTCTAATAAGTAAAGGCATTTCTCAAGAGTATGGATAAGCAATTTTGACGCTATTTTTCGTGTGTACTAGAATTGAACAGTTAGTAAATATGTGTGGATAGTAAGCTAGGTTTCTCACTGCTAGAGAAAGATTCAAATAGGAAATAGGAAAGGATAAAATGAGTACTCAGGTGACAGATCCGAATCAGCGGTATTAGTATTGACTTGTGGTTTTGAATATGTGTCCACATAGAAATTGTAAATGTGTGCGTGTGTGGGTTAGTAAATATACACACAATTCCTACTTCTGTCTCCTGAAAAGACGTATTAAAACCCCAGTAGCAGTGAGCACACCTAGTGGCCAGATCTTAATTTCTTACACCTTCACAAATAGGGACCAAGGCACCTTAGGGAGATTGATTCAGGCGTGGGGCAGGGAAAGTGCAAAGTGCAAAATGAAGATGCTCCTACTGGCCAAAGCCAGAATGATTTGAGCAGCGCAACCATAATGGTATTAGATTTGAACCAGTAGGATAAAATGAGTATGCATGAGTCAACCAAATAAATAGAGGAGCCACAGCTCAACCCAAGAGTATAATTCCCACTGTTAAAGATAAAAAGAAAGAGAGAAATAGAAAATCACCATTAGTAATTCCTTACAGAAAAGATCCACCAATGGTTACCAAGATTAACGGGCAAAAATTTAAAGAGAAACAGGATTTGCAGAGTTCAAAGTATCTTCCCCAGGAAATAAATTAACTACAGAAGGGATGGTTTTTAGGGGGGAAACTCAGCAGATACCACCACAGCCAAATGATAAAGGTCAGTCTCACCAGTCATAAGGCATATTGACATCTTGAATCCCTTGTGTGAAGACACATCATTTCTTTGTTCTTAACCAAAGTCTTTCTGCATATGGTAAAGGGCTTTGAATTAGGCTGACAACTTGTATTTAATAAATTTTAATATGTACTGAATCCTTTCTCCCTTTTCAAATCTCTTAAGTTGAAGCTTTAATATAGTTAAAGCTTTAATATTATCTATTATTAATGTTAAAAATTTTTAGAGAGATATTTTTGCCATAGGGCATGTGTGCTCACCAGAGAGAGACAGAGAGACAGAAAGTGAGAAATGACCCCCCTGGGGGGTGACCATGCTGCAATCCCTTCTCCATTCTTTTCTTGGGATCTTGGGCACACATGCACATATACCCGGTATGAGTTTTAAGCTGCTGAGTCTGGGACTCAAACTGCAGTCGACTACGTAGGAGCCCAGCTATCTAACTATTGTTCCATCTACTGGCCTCCATGTTAAAAATTTTTATTATGACTAATTCTTATTGCAGCAGAAAGCAAAACAGAGACTTGCTAAACAGTTTGAAGAATTAGAAAAACAAAATGTACAATGTAGTTGTAGTGGAAGTAGAAAATGTGGTACGCCAGCCTTAAATGGTTTGGAAAGAGTTTGTTGGGCTCATTAATTTTGGTGAATTAAATAGTGAATAAATATATAGTTTTAAAAATAGTGACTCAGGAGTTGGATGGCGGTACAGTGATAAAATGTGACGCTCGACCAGGCTGGCCCACTTGGGAGGGCTCCAGGTTTGCATCCCGAGATCTCCCAGAGTTTTCAAGCCCATACCTGCCCGTGATCAAGAGCTAGTGGTGGTTGAGGGTGGATCGTGGTGCTAAGACCGTGTTGGGGATTCTCTCTCTGAAGAAATAAATGAAATTGAAAATGATTCTGTGTTTTGTTGAGTGATTAGAAGCTAGTGACGCACTACCACTTTTATAACAGGAATGCAGCTTAGACTCTAGTTTCTCAGTTACAGTGTCATGGCGTATTTGTTAAAATGAGCGATTTTGGGGGCCGGGAGGTGGCATAGTGGTTAAGGGCACTAGACTCCCACGTGGCTGAGTGTGGTTCAAGACCTGGCAGCGTCCTTTATCACTTTCCTTCTCTCTCTCTCTTGCTCTGTCCTTCTCTGGTCAAATTGAAATAAATAAGTAAATAAATTAGATAAAGTAATTCTTAAAAAAAAATGTGCTATTTTGTGGGGAGTTGCAGGTGGTGTGGTGAAGGCACTGGACTTCCACGTGGCCTGTTATGGTTTGAGTCCTGGACCTGGCAACTTGCTTTCTCTCTTTCTTTCTCTCTGTCTCACTAATGAGCACACATGCCCTATACCAATAATAATAATAATAATAATAATGGTAAATAAAATTCAAAAAAATAATCCTTTTTAAAAAGAATTAGCTATGTTGTCCCAACTCTGAAGAAGTGTCTTCTTAAGTATATCAACTAAAATGTGAATGGGTTTAAAAAAATATATTCCCCCAGTACTGTACTTAGGAGAAAGTATGATATTTGCATCATTTATTGTTTTAAGTTCATTCAGAAGTTAGTTAGATTATTAAATGGACATTGAGATTTTGTAAAACTTATCAGCTCTGTATATTAACTTTTGTTTGCAGTTATTAATTCTGTTAACTTCTAATATATCAGAAGTTAATGAGTTATATACAGTGAAATAAAATACTTTTTAATAATTTATACACACTAGTGTATACAGTTCCGTTCCATCATGCTCAGTCTGAGAAAGTTATTGAATATATAGAATTCTTTATCTATACACTGCCCTTAAGGAATAACTTATTTTATCTCCAGCTTTATTAAAGTTGATAAATGAAAGTTGTATACATTTTAGGGTTATAATGTGAAGAGTTTCTGTATGTATACATTATGGAATGATTACCGTAATCAAGCTAATTAGTACATTTATCACCTCACGGAACATTTTCTTTACGATCAAAGCCCTTAAGCCATACCCTCAACAGATTTCAAGTATATAGTACAACATTAAAAAAAATTTTTTAAGGAGCTTCCTTTAAAACATTATAAAGTTTCTGCTGAGAAAAGCACATGTGCCGTGTGCTCACTGAAGAGGTACAGAGAAAGAAAGTGAGAAATCATCCCAAGGGGGGATGGCCGTGCCACATTCCTTTCTCCTCTATTCTCGAGATTTGGGGCATACACACAGACAGCCAGCATATTTTTCAAGCTGTCAGGTCTGGTACTTGAACTATGCACTAGACCATGCGGGATCCAGCCACCTTAACCAGCATGCCACCTGGCTGACCCTGGAACAGCATTACTAACTAGTCATCATGCTGTAGAGTAGATGCTCAGAATTGACTCATCGTTTCACTCAAAGTTTGGACCCTTTGATTACCATCTTCCCCATTTTCCTCTGCCCTCAGCCTCTAACAACCACCAGTTCTACTTGGCTGCTTCTTTTTTTTTTTTTTTTTTTTTCTTTTTTTCTTTTTTGGAGAGGTTTTCGCTATAGGGCACTTG